TCTTCCTAGGAGTAATAATCTCCCCTCTGTTCGCGATTATCCACCTCCGAAGAATCTGTTTCCGACGACGACCTTCGCTCAGTCTCCTCTCACTCCAGCTGATGGTAGTACGTCTAAACCTCAACAGCCTCAACAGCGACAAACTCAATCGACTGAAAATATCAACCCCCGTCCACCATCTCAAGTGCCTCCAGCTCGAGCATCTCAAGTGCCTCGAGCTCGACTATCCCACTCTTCTCCAGCCCTAGTATCTCAAGCGCCTCCAGTTCGAGCTCTCAATCGCCTCCAGCCCTAGTATCTCAAGCGCCTCCAGTTCGAGCTTCTCAATCGCCTCCAGTTCGAGCTTCTCAATCTCCCAACAGTTCTGAAGCACAAAATTCTCATATCCCAGAAGAGGAGGAGGATATGTCTGACGTAGAGGCTCCAGAGGTTGAACCTAATCTCGCCTCTGACCATTTGGAACTTTTGAACTCCTACCTAAACCAGCCAGGTCGAGCGAGGAACCTGAATATAACTATCTTGTCTCCCAACCTGGAACCTGGAACCACATGGTAATTTGTCTTTCTTTCCTACAATTGTGATTAGGATTACATTCTGATTAGCTTTTTTTGTGTGATGTAACGATTTGTAGTTAATTAAATCAAATGGTAATTTAATAGTAATAGTTTCTTTAAAAATGTTGTGTCTGTGAAACACCAATCTTTTTTTAATTTAAATTTGTATTTGATTTTAATAGTAATAGTAATAGTTTCTTTAAAAATGTTGTGTCTGTGAAACACCAATCTTTTTTAATAGTAATAGTTTCTCTAATATATGTTTGTAGGTTTGGTGATAATTTTATTTTGTACTGATGATAATTATTTGTTTGTAGGTTTGGTTATGACAAGTCGAAGTTGACTAGGAAGATTACCAAGATTTTAAAGAACAAGTTTAATAAGCCTTTCTACAGCTGGACTCGTGTGCCTAGAGACAGACAAGAACGTTACTTTCTTGAATTTGCTGTAAGTTTTTCTGTTTATTCTTGTCTTTGAGTTGTATAATTATTAAGCAACTCTGTTTTTTTAATTCTTTGGTTTTTGATGGCTAACTGATATCTTCTATGTTCATTTGTAGAAAACTCACACATGGAATCCATCATTGACTGGTGTTGTTCAAGAACATTTTGAGGCAATTGCTCTATTACGAATGAAAGACATGGTCAGCGAAGTAAGGACTTCTCGAGAGCAACCTACTTGGAGACACGACACACTCTGGAAAACAATGACCGACTATTGGGACACCGATGCTGCGGTTGCAAAGAGCTTGATATCATCAACAACTAGACTGTCTGAACGTCAAGGCCTTGGTGTTTACACACATAACTCTGGCCCGAAGTCTTATATGCAGATCCAACAAGAGATGGTAAGTCCCTACTGCTTAGTGGTTCAGTCTGATAAGTATGTTTGGTTTTTTAATTATTCTGATATTTTCTTCCATTTCACTTGAGGTTGTTGAACTGGGAAGACCAGTGAGCTTTGGTGAAGTATTCATCAGAGCTCATACAAAATCAGATGGAACCTTCAGTGATTTCAAAGCTGAACAAGTTGCTGAGGCTTTCAAGAAGAAAAAAGAAGCTAAGTTGGCGAGTCTTTAGACTGATCAAACCGAGACCTCAGATAGGCAGCATCCACCAATATCAATAGAAGATGAGAATGAGCTGTTTATTCAGGTTGGGTTTCTTACTTTAAAAGTATATGTCTTATATTTTTGGTTAAAGTCTATGTCTTATATTTTTGGTTGTTTTTGCTTGTCGTTGATAGTCTGATACTTGTTCTTTTTGTAGGCCACTTTCACCAATGACAGGGGACAAATTTATGGTCTTGGAAGCTTGAAGAACCATCTTACTGAACTGCCATATGACCCAAGAAGCTTGTCCTCCTTCATGCAATTGCAACGGAAACTTGAAGAAGCTCAACGCCAAATAAAAGAGCAAGCTGCTCTTCTTGCAAAGGCTGTGGAAGAGCGTGCCCAAGCTGCTGCTGCTGCAGCAGAGGTTGAGGAAGAGCGTTTTAGAGTTATAGCTACTCAGAAGGCTACAATCCAAGAGTTCTCAATAGTTAAGAAGTTCTTGAGCAACATAGACCAGAGATTCTTGGACTTCGTCTCCAAAGAAACAGCTTCATCTGATTCCCATGTCTTCCTTTTACCTTTCATTTGAACTCTATCTTTTGGATATGTGTAAAACTTGTAAACTCCTTATGTGTTGGAGTTCTTTTGGATGTTTGAAACTTGAAAAGTCCTAAGTCTTGGAGTTCTTTTGGTACATTTTATGATTTCAAAATCGTTTTTAGTAGTTATTAATATCAATTATTATTATTATTAGCAGATTTAAATAACAAATTATGAACAATAAAAAAAAACAAAACACCAAAATAATGTATTTAACAATCAAAAATATGGTAGGACAGTCACATATCAGTCACGAAATCAGTCGTAAAATTTAAGCAACGTAGTCACTAATCAGTCGTGATTTGGTCGCCGAAATATACCGACTGTTATCCTAGTACGGGATTTAGTCGTTAACGCAGCCTTTAAATTCAGTCGTTAAAATCAGTCAGAATACCGTCGTAATATAGTCACTACATGAGTCGTAAGTCAGTTGATAATTGCCTACTATTTAACGACTGAAATTACAACTACCAAAATAGTAGCAACGCAGTCGGTAAATGCCAACTGTTTTCCGACTAAATGATTTAGCGACTAGCTGTTTTACGACTACTCTAATCAGTCGTAAAGCAGTCGGGAAAGCCATTTAGCGACTGATTACCAACTCATTTTGTAGTCGGAAACGACCTGTTTTCTTGTAGTGCCTGACTGAGTTAACAATCTGCCTCGTCTATGTTTCTTGAATTTCTCTGTGTTAGCTAGGTTTTGAAAAGAATATATAGCAAGTGTTAATACATATGAAGTTAATTTTTCAGGTCTTATCATACAATTTAATTGTCTAACCTCTCGCGGGAGTCTTTCTTGGTTTTGATGATCGTATGAGCATCCGGGTCTGTCGAACTATCTGTGAAGTATCATCTGATTGAGAATATCACCTGAAGATGTTTATATATTTTTGTGGATTCAAAGTATAAATCTGGAGTCTGTTATAAGTCTTGAGGTATATACTGACCTGTGACTAGAGACATTGGGAACATGATATGAGTCATATTTACATAGTTTTAGCATTTCATTTTGTGCATAAAACATCATATAGATTTAGGTTTAAACATCTTTAGGATACATATTGTATTCATATGTCTTATCAGGTGTTGGAGTGTCCTATGGTGTGATTCTATGGCTTGAGAAGTGTTTTGGGTTCAAGAATGAAAGAAGAATGAAGTTTGGTCAAGATGGGAAGAGATTATGGTGTTTGGATTGAGTGAGAGCCAGACTGGCCCGGGTAGAGAGCCGCGGGTAAGGCCACCCGCGCATGGAGAAGGAAACTCACCCATCTTGCGCGGATAAGATGGCGCGGGCTCGTGTATCCGCTCGGTTAAGAGGCATTGTCATTGCCCATCTGGCGCGGGTAAGTTGGCGCGGTCTCTAGTACCCGCTCGTCCAAGGATCAGAGCCATCGACCAAGCTGCGCGGGTGGAGTCCTCGCCCATCACCCGGGCCGCGTGGTTCCAAACAGAAATTTCCCTTCTTTTCTTATGTCCTTTTGGTCTTTTCACATTTAAAACTCTTGTGTCTCCTTAGACCATATAAATACCTTGTAATCCTCTTTGGGAATGATATATTCTTTTCTCTAAACAAAAACACATTTGGGAAAGTTGCATCCTTGATTAATCTAAGCTTTTGTTCTTAATAAAATTGAATTTATCTCATCTTCTAATCATGATTAGTCTTTTATCCATCATGAGTTTAGAATTAAATATGAAGATTAGTGAATAGACTCTCTTTGAACTTATGGGTTAAGGTGATTAGGATGATTAAATGATGATCTATGGTGATTAGTGTTAGATCCTTGTTGTTCTATGCTTTATACTTGATCCCAATGCTAGATTTGATTTATTAAATTTCTTCATTTCATATGTAAATTGTAAAAAAAAAATATCGATTATAATAATATTTCTTGAAAAAAGCTCACTTAGTATACTGGAAGACAATAACTAAATTCTGGTTTGGTGTTTTGATGATCCCTACCTTATTAACTGCACCCTTTTATTCTAGATCATTAGACATTTCTTGCCCACAAAATGTTTGTGAAAATGTCTGAACCAAAGTATTAATGCTCCTTGTTTGCTTAGCTAAGGACACTTGATGCTAGGGATGCTTAGATGGTTATTAGATTTGTTCTCAATGCTTGCTTGATTAATTTAGACTAAGGACACTTGATGTTTAGAGATTGATAACAAATGAACTTTTACCTTGACAAATGATTAGTCTAGGATTGTGTCTAGACCTATAGGATATGATTGATTGTTTGAACTCTCACCCTAGAGAGTAGCTTAATCACCCAAAGTCAACATATTTACCCATAGGTTCTCTTATTCTCATTGAAGCAAAACTTAGTTATTCTTGTTTACTTACATGCTTGTTACTAGTTAGTCTATAAAATAAACCTTTTGATTGCATTTAGCTTAATACAATAATTTGTATTCTCTTTGTTCATTAGCACTCAAGATTGGATTAACACTATACTTACCTTACTACATTGATTTGCTCTAAGGCCTAATAACCCTTATCAGAACGTCGACAACGCTAGATGACTGTTTAGATCTGTCATTTCCATTCTTTTCCTTTAGATAATCTTCTCTCTGTGAAAATATTAAAGGAGGCAGGAGGACATATAAGGTTTTTGTGAAAATACATCTTGGGCCATATGCAATTACATCATGGGTCATTTAAAAAATTCCATTTTCGGCTTTCTGCAGAGAATTTTGGGCCTTGTGCAACGTGTCATGCGTTTACGAATTCTTGTAGAAATGATATATAGTGTACCTGAACGCAGCGTATCATATCTTAGTCACGCCAATTCTCGACCAAAGACTCGAAACCTGTGGTGGTTTCTATAGAAGGGATAGATACAAAAGGGGCCTATATTCACAGAGAAACGCTTTTGAAGATAAGAGAGAAGCCATAAACAAAAACATGCTTCAACTCTGTTCCGCTTTCCGTCCTCAACTTCTCTTTTCTCCTAAAATCCGATTCACAGATGGAGTTTTGATTCCGTAAGTTCTCCAGTTTCACGACAATTCCTGTTTTCTTTTCTGATTCCGACATGTCTCAGTTATGTTCTGAAATAACTAGATTTGATTGTAACAAATCTTTCACTGGTTTTGCTGTTTTGTATTTTACCTTCGAGTTAGGGATTTGCTTCTTTACAGAAAAAAAAATCAATTATTTAACACTTCTGTGTGTGTTTTCTTTGCAACAGCCAATTAAACTTTGGTTCGAGCAATTCACTTGTGATTTTTCGTCCAGTGATACGATGCCAGAGAGTTAGTGGAGGTCGAGGAGGAGCTAACAGAAGCAAACCCGCCAAGCCTCCTGTTAAAGAAGGCAGCAACAAGACAGTTATCGAAGGTTTAGTGACCGAATCACTTCCCAACGGGATGTTTCGAGTTGATTTGGAGAATGGAGATAACATTCTTGGTTACATCTGCGGTAAGATTAGGAAGAACTTCATCAGAATTCTACCAGGAGATAAAGTGAAAGTTGAAATGAGTGTTTATGATTCTACGAAAGGTCGTATTGTTTTCAGAATGAGTAGTAGAGACTAAGAAGAAAGCAAAAGGGTTGTTTTATGATCATGCTATATTCTATTTTTAAGCGTAGCCAAAGTTTGATAAAGCTTGAACATTTATGCAGTATGAATACATGATTAGGTTTTTATGGATAAATCGAGTCCAGCTTTTTGATTGTTGATGTCCAAGTTTTTCCTTTCATGATACTCGTGTTGTCTTGCGGTTTGATAAGCAAACGCAGTTGTTAAAACCCTTCTTTAAAACGACTTGTATGTAAAACAATAGCTTTGTTTCCAGTCCGTTGAGCTTAGCTCAATTCATATTTTGCAGGTTAAATGGTCTGAATATTGATAATTTGCAGTTTTGTATTGCTGATATGATGTTTTACCTCCATAAGTCACAGCAAGCCTTGCATTTTATTGTGATTCCATGTAATGATATGTTTAAATAAGTAAAATTTGAATAAACTTACAATCCGACCTTAGCTCAGTTGGTAGAGCGGAAGACTGTAGTAGTTGCTGAAATCTTTAGGTCGCTGGTTCGATTCTGGCAGGTCGGATATCTTTTTAATAATTTTTTTTTTATAAAAACTTCCTTTAGTTTCTTTTCGTAGGCTTTTAGATAATGGTTCCGGGCTTTAAGCCTTTTTCCAACTGCTCCGGACCATTCTTTTTATTTTTTTCGGCTAAAGAAAACTCTTTCTATAATCTAAACATGGACTCACAAGTCACACAACATAGACTCTTTAGTTTGACAATCACATATGCAGTTGCTTAGGGTTTGATTGGTCGAACATTAGCATAAGCATTATGCTCTCTATTATCCAATCAACATTAGTCAACAAAATATTTAAAGAAACATTTATCAAATGTTAATATTCTCTAAATACTCTTTGTTCAATGATTTCAGATGAAACTTTTGGAAAATCATTTGCAGTTAGAATATATAAAACTTAAAACAATTATATGTAATTATTTTATTTTTATTTAATAATATAAAAATATTTTTATAATAAAAAAATAAATTTATATTTTAAAAATTAAAATAGAGTTATAATTAATTATTTCACATAATTAAATATAATTTATATAATTACACATATCTTTCATTATTTTAATAGCAAACAAAACATAATATATATATATATATATATATATTTATATATTATAGTTATAAACATATATATTATTTAGAAAGATATAAATAAATTACATAACATATATTAATTTTTATGGTAATTTATATATGAATCGTTTACTGCTCCACCAATAAATAAATAATGATGATTTATATATAAATTATATATAATTAATTAATAATCTTAAAATATATATATATATCCAAAAATATTTTAATATTTTAAAAATAAAGTTTACGTTTTGTAAATAATAATATTTCACATATAAATTATAATATAATGAATACAATTCATTATTTTTAATATCAAATATATATTATTAATATATATTATAAATATATAAGTATTATTTCTAAATAAATATATTAGTATATTAACTATTATGATAATTTTAAAATTGTATACTGTTAGTGCTCTGCCAATCACTTTATTAATTTTTTTAATGAAAGCAAACAACTTCTGCAGCTTACTGCTTCCACAACATACTGCTACTGCTTTATCATCTGTTGTACCAATCGAGGCCTTAAAAACAATAGTATATCCAACGAGAAAATTATATTGACAAACACATTTCGAGAATTCAATTACATGAAAAGGTATATTCATCTTGTACACACTTTTTTCCTATCAAAATGTCAAATTTACCCTTTAACTTGAAAAAGACAAGATGTGTGGTTACTTTTTCTTTCTGAATAAAATTATATCAAATTAGTTTTTTTTTAATTGTAAACACACACTATTCCTTTTCTTATTCTACTTCAAATTATTCTCTGAACTGATACGATTATAAAATACCTTAACTTTTGATTAGGGTTTCTCGAATTTAGATTGTTCTCTTCGTCTCGGCCCACAACCTCCATGAACATCGAAGTCTCGAACTTATCATCGCTTTGCTGGACTCATGTTAAGCGGAACATAAAAACGACGAATCTGTGATGGAGGTGAAGGAGTGAGACCGTGGCTCAGTCCCGTGGAAGCAGTGGCGATAGAGACCATGGTGGAGATGGCGGTGGTGACTATGAACAAGGCAGTGATTGCTATGAACGGTGGCGCTCAATCCAATGAAAGCGGTAGTAGACACCGTGGTAGAGCTGGCGATGGATACCATAATGGAGGCAGTGGTGGTTATGGGGATGGCAGTGGTGGAAGATGGTAATGGAGGTGGAAGAGATAGTGAAAGTAGTGGTGGCTGCAGTAGATACGAAGGTGATAATGGAAATGGAGGAGATAATGGAGGCACTGGTGGTTATGGAGGTGACGGTGCCTCTCTTGGTCAATATGTGTGTGGATGTTGTTGATGTAGTCGGAAGATTTGTAGATAAAGGAGGTGGAGGAGATAGCAGAGGTGGTGGTGTCTATGGAGGAGACGGTGACTCTCTTGGTCAATGTATGTATGTGTAGATGTGGTCGTAAAAAGTATGGATAATGGAGGTGGGGGAGATATTGGAGGCGGTGGTGGTTATGGAGGTGACGAGGGCTCTCTTGGTCATGTGTGTATGAATGTTGTTGATGTGGTCGGAAGGGTTGTGGATGGAGATCTCGTGGTCAGGGTTGTGTTGATGTTGTTGATGTGATTGGAATAATTGCATTCAATGGTGAATGTGAAAGTGGTAATAGAAGTAGAAGAGATAGTGAAAGCTGTAATTAAAACAGAAGTGGTAATTAAAATAAAGGTGATAACGGAGGTGGAGGAGATAGTGGAAGAGAAGGTGATATTATACCATAAAAGGCTGGCTTTACCGTAATTGTTAGATCTTCATCCTTTAAATTGATCAATTGCCCACTAACCATTCACATAAATCCATATACCTACTTTTTTTTAGTTTTTAACTTTATCATTAAATGTAACTAGAGACCAAACAATATTTCATGGTTGCTTTCTTAACATAAACATCTTTCTCTTTATATAAATGTAAGGTTATTTTTGTTTTTTTTTGTTTTTAAAATAGCTGTCAAGATAAAGCGTGTCAAAACAACATTGTGTTTTTTTAATGCAATAATAATTTAGAAAATGTCTATCAACGTAAGTCTCTCATATCCAACTCTTATAATTTTCTTATGTAATAGTAACCTAATGTGATACTGTGTCTAACAGCATAAACTGGATTATGCGTACATAAACTAGATTCAGTAACTCCTAAGTCTACAACATATTACAGCAAACTACAGTACTGTTGTATTATTGAATTTGACTTTAATCATATAAAATTAAGAAAGATCAGTTGCACATTCTAACAAGTATACCAGTGATTAAATAGGATTTTTAAGCTTCATCAATTGTGCAAGATTTAGTGGACCACTTAAAGGCTCTGGTAAAATATATATATGGTAAGTTGCTTTCTTTTGTAATTTGATAGTACTAGTTACAAACTAATTCAAGTGATATATGTGTAAAGATATTGAAAAAGAATATTCTAAGCCTAAACAGTTGTAGGGCTCTCTTAGTCTAGTGTTTTGACTAAGGATTCATTAATATTTCAATACCAGGAGATTAGATTTCAGTGTCTGGCCAAAACATTTTCATAAACAACTATGCTTGTACGAAGGAAAAATAGTTTAAAAAAAATGAATATCTAAGCTCCATTTATAACCAAAAATGCTTCTAGTTAAGCTGTCTAGAAAACATTTCTTTCACTGATCTAGAATCTTTCAAATCCTAGAAACTGTCTGCTGAGTGCTGACATATCACCTTATGAACATGTAGATTTTTTATTATGAAACTGAAACATTATATTATGTATTTACAGTGTTAGTAATTTCAATTATCTTTATTTTTTGGTGCTTTTATGTATTATAAGGTGTCTCATTATATCTTGTTGATAAACATTGTTGAGACTCCCGAAGATTGTGATAGTAATTTCCTTATATTTTGAATATTTATGTTTTGTGTTATGCTCCTCCTAACCCTCAGTGATCATTGTAGACAGTGTTAGTAATCTTTATGTTGATTATTATTTTTAATCTGTTGCTTGTAGTTGTATCCATTATGGAAACTTGCATATCTTTATTAACTGTATGTATTTTAAAGTTTCTTATAAATCAACGTAGGTGAGAGCAAGAGCAGGGGGGGGGGGCTCTTTCCAATTTTTTTAAAAAATCAAAAAGAAGAAAGAGAAAGGAAAAAGTAAGAAAAAA